TAAATGTTAAATTGTTATATAAACACAAAAGTTATTTACCAAAATCATAAATAAATCAAATACCTACAATCTTATGCAATAATGGTCCTTCTACGATGTCAGACTCAGGTGCAAAATCCCTAAAACCATCAAAAATTAGTCCTTCGAACATAAAAATGCAATTTTGGAGGTCAATTTGTTCGATAATCATAAAAGTTATTTGGGAAAATGATAAAGGAATTAATTACTTACAATCTGATACCAGAATGGTCCTTCTACGATCTCAGACTCAGGTGCAAAATCCCTAAAACCATCAAAAATTAGTCCTTCGAACATAAAAATGCAATATTGGGGGTCAATTTATGAGATAATTACATAAGTTAAATAGGAAAATGATAAAGAATTTTAATAATTACATTCTGATGCAAGAATGGTCCTTTTACGATGTCAGACTCAGGTGCAAAATCCCTAAAACCATCAAAAATTAGTCCTTCGAACATAAAAACGCAATTTTGGAGGTCAATTTGTTCGATAATCATAAAAGTTATTTAGGAAAATGGTAAAGGAATTAATTACTTACAATCTGATACCAGAATGGTTTTTTCTACGATCTCAGACTCAGGTGCAAAATCCCTAAAACCATCAAAAATTAGTCCTTCGAACATAAAAATGCAATATTTGGGGGCAATTTGTAAGGTATTCACAAAAGTTAATTAATAAAATGATAAAGAATTTTAATACTTACATTCTGATGCAAGAATGTTCCTCCTACGATGTCAGACTCAAGAGCAAAATTCCTAAAACCAGCAAAAATTAGTCCTGCGAGCATTAAAAATGCAATTTTGGGAGTCAATTTGTGAAATAATCACAAAAGTAAATAAAGAGAATGATAAAGAAATTTATTACTTACAATTTGATGCGAGAATGGTCCTTCTACGAACTCAGACTCAGGTGAAAAATCCTTAAAATCATCAAAAATTAGTCCTTCGAACATAAAAATGCCATTTTGGGGGGCCAATTTGTGAGATAATCACAAAAGTTATTCAGGGAAATGATAAAAAATTTAATACCTACACTTTGATGCAAGAACGGTCCTTCTATGATGTCAGACTCAGGTGCAAAATCGCTAAAACCATTAAAAATTAGTCCTTTGAACATAAAAATTTAATTTTGGGGGTTAATTTGTGAGATAATCACAAAAGTAAATTAAGAAAATGATAATATTTATCTGCCTGATGATGCCACAGTGTGGCGAAACATGTCGTAGAGTGGTAAAAGTTTTAGTGAAACCCTTAAGGTTTATCCTTTCTATCAACGAAAAATTAGTCATTCGAACATAAAAATGCATTTTGGGGGTCAATTTATTAGATAATCAGAAAAGTTATTTAGGAAAATGATAAAGAAATTTAATATTCATAACATGTTGCAAGAATGGTTCTTCTTCGATGTCAGACTCAGGTGCAAAATCTTTAAAACAAAAAAAAAGTAGTCCTTGAAAACACACGACAGTTACGCAGTTACGGCCAAATAGGCACGTTACCTGCGATCAAAACTAAACTAAGATGCGCCAACATGCGGCGTGAGGGGATGGCAACGGACGGCACTCGTGAATCTCATGCCTTGCATTCCACGCGGCCGAAGCGATAAGAAAATAAATTGTGATAAAAACAAACACAATTCTCGTGCTGAATGCCCACGTTTGCAGATAAATATAGAAATAAAGAATACAATTCTATTTTATGATTTTTAGTTCATGCTAGTGACATATATGAATGATGACCATCTGCCTCAATTTAGTTTATTAAAAGCAATGAAAAATTAAAATACGACTTATATAATAATAATAATGTAATTTCGTATGATTGCCCGCTTTCTTATAATTGACCGTACGAAGGTAGTGGTAGAAGTGACTTCCATTCAGGGCACCGTACGAAGGTAACGGTGGAAGTGATTCCCATTACACGGGTACATACGAGGGTAGCGGTGAAAGTGACTTTATTCAGTGCACCGTACAAGGGTAGCGGTAGAAGTGAATTGTGTTTGGGCTGACTTTCATTCGCCCATTTTATCTTTCGAATTAAAATTTCATCTCTCAGATTTCCGTTTTAACTAGCTTATCTTATAGAGAATAGTCCGTAGATTAAGACGCTGCAATCGGATCTTAATTATCTCTTTTAGTTTACGAGATATTCGCGATTCAATAAAATGGGCAAAAATTGCAAAATGTCACTTTTTAGTACTTTTAGTCACAATTTTTGACCTTTTACTGTAGGAAATATAATTATTTTATATCTTTATCTGATAGAGAATGTTCCAATCTTTCATAATCCGCAATGCATTGGTTGCTATGGCTTTTAGTTTAAGAGATATTAATTATCAAAAATCGTCGAAAAAAAGTATCAAGCACCCCCCCTTGGCAATTTTTTCTTTGGAATTAAAATTTGACTATAATATAAGAAGATAAGAAAATAGTTAATTTTTGAAGAGTAAAGGTTCTTAAATCCTCTCAAAAGATGCGAAAAATTGACATTTTCAGTTTTTCAGAGTTTTCTTCAATTGCGAATATCTCGTATACTAAAAGAAATAGAGAGTATGGAAACGCGACTATATGTGCCTTTGCAACACGCGGTGAAACACAATACAAAAAACTACGTAGATATAAACAGATGTACAACGCAGAAATTATAATGAAAAATATAATTGAATTAGAAACTTACCAATGCACAACTTATCGGACTCCAAGGCTCGGCAAATACTGTAAATTTAAAAAGAAAACATAAGTTAAAACAAAAATATTTCATACGATTTAGTAATATTACATTCTAACAGCGAAGAAACAATCAAACAATCTGTGCGGTTTAATTAAAAGTTATAAAAAGTTCACAAGCGCGATTGGTCATTCTAATTATGAAGAAATCAACATGGGACAATATGTATTTGATTCACATCGTAACTCGACACCTTGTGAGTTGCAATATACACTTTCAGCGCGATAAAAAACCGGCCGGACAATAAACGCGCAAAGAGTAAATAGCATTACTATAGTAGTAACAATTAAATAGTCGATTGATGATCAAATTTAATGCGAATTTGGAGCATAGAAGTCCGAACGAACAATACGAGTACGAGTCGCGTAAAACACGTCTGGATGAGCCATAAACCGGCACAAAACTGGCTGCAAACTGTGCCAGCAACGACGCAACAGTTTATGATAAGAAAGCAAGAGGTGCGCAAAGCAAGTGCGTCGATGGCACGAATCGCATGTAGCACGTTACCTGCGACCAAAACTAAACTAAGATGTGCCAACATGTGGCGTGAGGGGACGGCACTCGTGAATCTCATGCGTTGCATTCCACGCGGCGAATGCTATAAGAAAGTGTCAGTTCTGTTCAAAACATACACAATTCTCATGCCGATTACTTACGTTTGCCGATAAATATAGAAATAAACAATACAATTCTATTTTATGATTTTTAGTTCATGCTAGTGCCATCTCTGAATACAAATAAGAATTCCGGAATTCAGAAGGAACTTAGAACTTTGAAGGAATTTAGATTAAAATTAATGAAAGATTTTTCTTTAACTATTAAAGTGGTGTTTTGCTTTCATTAACCATAGTTGAGTAAGTGGAGGAACAATTAGAGACAACTTTTTTTATTCTGAAATTGTAAAAAATATAGAAATATCAAATTCCCCAAAATATCCCAATCCGAAACGTTAAGGAACCAAATTTTAGTTACTAAAATCTTGCCTGAGCCATCGTTTTGCATCTCTGGTATCATTTCCAAATGTATTCCCAAATCTTAAAAAAATATTTCATCATTGATATTACAAATAAAGAAACTTTTCTAAGTCATACCGGAACTTTTCTCCTGGTACATGGCCGCCATAATTGGGCAACAAGCCCACATGTCTTTGATAAACATGATGACTTATTATTGCTAGAGGAGGATCCGGTCTACTCACTGACACCGGGGCCCATTCGGTACTTAATCGTTTTCGGTAGTTAGAAGTAAAATCACAAAGAGCACCGTTTGTTAACGCTTGATTAGCTTTTCCAAACGAAGAATAACCGAATGGTAAATGACCAGAAAATCCTGAATAAAAAAATAATATGACGGAATCATAATTGTGATCAATAATGATTTTTTTAAATATCACACACACCTTGTTTTAAATATTTCTCAGCTTGAGTATTTTCCATAAAATAAGGACTATGAGAATGCATAGGTGGTGTGATTGGTGGCTCTTCTATTGGCAAATTTCTTTGAACCGCAGCACATTCCGGTCGTACTTCAAGAAGCGGCAAAGTAAACTCACTAGTCGTCAACTAGTACCGCATAAATTTTATAAATATTTTTTATAATTTCGTGTCTATCTAAGCAAATTACCTCCCGATCATCTAAATCTCGCGGATCCCACTTTTTATCTTGCAAAGCACCTTGCCGCATCAACTGATTCAAAGCTTTAGCATCTGCTTGTTGCAATTCTTGAAACTGAGACAATGCTTCAGTAGCTTGCACTGTATATCTTTGACCAAAAAGACCATTTAGTCTTGGTACAAAACCCTCATATCCTGGAATTGTGGGATGTTGGTAAATTTCACCACCGTGCTTGATACGAGAGTTTACAATATCAATATCTCTTTGTGCAGGTCTCACCACCTAATAAATATACCGTAAATATACCATATTTACTTAAGTAATTAAATAAACATTGAGTATTACTTGATAGTCATCTACATTTCTATCCGATAATATTAACTTTTCTGAATGCCCAACTGATGGGTCTAATAATAATTTATGCGTTGTAGATCCATAAGAGTTACCAACACGATATTTGTATTCGGGACAATGACCAGTGTACCTTTGTTAAAATAACATTAAATATAATAATTCGAGGAGAATACTTTGATACTACCCTGGAATAAAATGTGGATTTGGTGACGAAATCAAATCCATCGACATTTTTGCCACTTTAATAAAATTTTCTCGCAAAATTTTGTAAAAATTTTCAATAATTTAAAATACGTATGAATTTTTTACTACAATTTATTGTTTGACAAGTTATAACATAACGAGGTGATTGCTTGTCATAAACTTTTGTGACAGCACAATAATTTATGAAAAACAAGGGTAAATATTTTTGCAATTATATGCAATTATACACAATTTCGTGTCACATTTCATGTCAATGTAGAGATATTATTAACTACAATGCAACAAATAATTGAGCTAATATATAAACACATTAAAATTTCTCAAGAAAGCAGTTTGCAAAATGAGTGATATTAGCACAAAATTCAAACTTCCTGACCGATATGGAAGTCCTGGCCCGAATATTTGGTAAGATATTACGATTTATCGTTAATTCTAATTAGGAAAATGACTTAAATTTGATGTTTAGGGTAGAAATGATTGAATCTTGTTCAAAATATAATCCAATTAACTTAGGAGTTGGATTTGCAGATTTTGCACCACCGAAACATGTAACTGAAGCATTAGCAGATGTAGCTAGAAGCGATAATGTATTGCTTCATCAATACACCAAAGAATACGTAAGTTTACATTCACATTTAATTGGTATGTACGCTTATTATGCAAAATACTAAATCTAAATATATGTAGGGTCATCCTAGATTGGTTAATATCCTCTCAAAACTTTACTCTAAACTGATAAACAGAGAAATCAATCCAGACACTGAAATGCTTATATCAGAAGGTGCTCAACAAGCTCTGTATAATATTTTTAATGGAATACTTGATTATGGTGATGAAGTGATTGTTATTGAGCCATTTTTTGAGTCTTATGAGCCAATGATCAGAGAAACTGGTGCCAAACCTATTTTTATACCACTGACACATAATGGAAGTAATAATGGTTGTGTATTGACAACTAATGATTTTCACTTAGACAAAAAAGAGTTGGAAAGTATGTTCAATTCAAAAACAAAAGCAATCCTTCTAAATACACCTAATAATCCTCTTGGAAAGGTTTTCAATATGGAGGAAATGCAAATGATTGCAGATTTATGCAAAAAGTGGAATGTTTTATGTATCGCTGATGAAGTGTATGAATGGTTGGTTTATAAACCATATCAACACATAAGGATGGGTAATTTATATTTTATTAATTGAAAATGCTTAAACTAAGTTTTAAATTCAATAGCTACCCTGCCAGGTATGTGGGAGAGAACAATTACCGTCGGTTCAGCAGGCAAAACGTTCAACATTACCGGTTGGCGAACAGGATGGGCTTATGGGCCAGCGGGCTTGATGAATAATTTTAAAGTAATTTACCAAAATTCTATTTACGCACATTTGACACCCATACAAGAGGCTATTGCTATAGCATTTGAGAAAGAGTTTGATTTGATGCTTAATAACCCAAAAGAGTGTTTCTTTTACACTTTATCCGAAGAGTTATTTACGAAACGAGAGTTTTTAATGAAAGCGTTTGTTAAAGCGGGTTTAAAACCAATTCAACCACAGGGTGGATATATGATAATGGCCGATTTTCAAAGCCAAGGTAAGAAGTGGAAATTACAACTTAAAAAACTGAATTATCTGCTAAAATAACTTTTAGACCTAAAAATTGATTTATCGAAGGAAACTGAAAGCAGCAAAGACATACAGTTGACGAAGTGGCTGGCTAGGAAAGGTTTGATGGGTTTTCCTGGTTCTGCATTTTATGGCACCGAGAACAAGCACATGGCAAAGAATTTAATTCGCTTTTGCTTTATCAAAGTAAAACAAATTGCAGTGAGTCTGAATAATTATTTTTTATTTATTTTTAGCAAGATGAAAACCTATGTGCTGCAGCTCGGATTCTTGATGAGCTGTTTTCTAACAAATAATAAACCCGAATTTGCCATGCATGCACTTAACTTTTATGTATTTAAGTAAACTATAACGCTTTTCACGGTGAATTTCGTTTCCGCGTACTTTGTTACTTTATTTCCATATCCTGCATGTTAAAAACCTTCCCCAAGTGGATTCTTAGATATATTTAAAAATGATAAAATGATTCTCCTACGGTGTCAAACTCAGGTGCAAAATCCTAAAACCATCAAAAATTAGACTTTCAAACATAAAAATGCTATTTTGGGGTCAATTTGTGAGATAATCACAAAAGTTATTTAGGTAAATGATAATGAAATTTAATACTTACAATCTGGTGCAAGAATGTTTCTCCTACGATGTCAGGTTCAGGAGCAAAATCCATAAAACAGCAAAAATTAGTACTTCGAACATAAAATTGCAATTTTGGGGTCAATTTCTGAGATAATCGTAAAAGTTATTTAGGAAAATGATCCTCCTACGGTGTCAAACTCAGGTGCAAAATCCTAAAACCATCAAAAATTAGACTTTCAAACATAAAAATGCTATTTTGGGGTCAATTTGTGAGATAATCACAAAAGTTATTTAGGTAAATGATTATGAAATTTAATACTTACAATCTGGTGCAAGAATGTTTCTCCTACGATGTCAGGTTCAGGTGCAAAATCCGTAAAACCAGCAAAAATTAGTCCATCGAACATAAAAATGCAATTTTGGGGTCAATTTGTGAGATAATCACAAAAGTTATTTAGGAAAATGATAAAGAAATTTAATTCTTACAATCTGGGGTAAGAATAGTTCTTCTACGATGTTAGACTCAGGTGCAAAATCCATAAACGACGCATATCACTCGCGCACAATCGAAGGAGCATTGAGAAACAACACTACGTAATAACGTAATAAGATAAATTAAGAGACTCAAATTATTGTCAGGTAAATGTACGTGCTGACCACCTGACGACAAAAATAAGACTGACGCGGTACGCAAGCCAACCGCGTGGCGACCGAATAAAATTGCAAGAGATAAGAAAACTTGTTTGTAAACACTGATAGTTTCAGTGTGGTAGTGCAGAACCTGAAAAGAATTGTACTCGTACTATGCATGGAACTTGCATTTTTTTAATTTCGATTCAGAATTTAATTTAAGAAAGTTAATCAGTGCACTAAATACAGGGTGCTTTCCACACCATGTTTTTAAATTTTCCTGAAATTGCTCATTTTGAAGGACATTATAGGGCACTTTCGGAAGGACTGGAAGGTTGAACAAGTATGCATCGTGTAGAGAAACTCCCCGATCTCCATCTCTCTTTCTAATAATTGCTGTTTTTATCACCGATGCATATTTTATTTCGTCATAATAAAAAGGTGGCCCAAATTCTCTCCATAATCAAATTCCAATACGTTCCTTTGTAAACACGATTAATTCTTAAGTTTAACATCATTTTTTAGTCGTAATTATTAACAAGAGTTACAATTTTAAAAGGTATAAATATATATATCGTCTTTCTTATCAGATAGCATCAAGAAACAAACTGTATTCATACTCTCTTTAGTTCCATATTAAAATATAATTTGTGAATATCAAGAAGCTTTAATAAGCTTCAAAACTACAAATTTGCACTTTCTGTTAAAATTCCCTGCTATGCGGAGTAATGTATATGTAATTACTTTTCTTCACAGTTCGTTTGCACTCTTCGCATCATTTAAAATTAAAAAGTATTAACACAGCCAAGTTGTATAATAATTAATCGAAACAATAGTCACTAGATTACTAAAACTATGTATCTTAATCGACTTACAACGAATATTATGCGTACATAAATAGACTATGCTCTTATTATCGAAAGTGTAGAAACACAAAATTAGAAACATCACCTTTATACACGTACATATTTACATCGCAATTTACACATCCGCGCAATTTGTAATAATCATATTTACAACGTGCATCTAATAAACGGCATGAACATCTATCACAAACTGAACACATTTCACATTTATCATTATTATGTCAAAGTGTGACAATTTTGGGTATGCGATTCGTTGCTGAATTTTAAATTTCCGGTAAATATTAACGATTTTTCATCTATTTAACATCTAGTGCTTGTGCCAAAAAATTTGCACGGGCTAGCCAAACAGTAAAATGAAGATTACATTGAGTGTTTACAAAGCTTTAAGAAATTGTAAAAAACAACGTGTATATCATTCTACAAAATGCATAATTACTAAATAAAAACAAACAAACTTCATGTTGAAATTTTCTCTTTGAGAATAAATACAATTTATGTACTTGTTTATTAGATAAACAAGAACATGTCAAGCCAAGTCCATAAAATTGCAGTAAACACTCAAAGTATGAATATTTTGACAGTGTTTTCCGTTTTCCCGATGTTTTTGTTTTCTTCGCGTTACAAATTTATTTTCGTGTGTGCTCATTTCGGTTCCTGCCCTGCTTACATCACATCACTTAGTTTAGGCTTATGTCTGTAGCATATTATTATAAATATAGCCCTAATGCTCTTACTGTAACACTTAAATTGCACGAAATATATCATTACATCGATGTGACTAACAAAAAAAAAAACGCATTTAAACGCTGGTAACTCCACATTCTCCAAACTCACAAATCGTTCGCATTCAGAATCAAAGTGTAGCAAATCTACATAGTACTCTACTACAGGTAAATAACGCGTAAATATTTCTATATAATATGACTTTCTTACTCTTTGTTTTCGTATTCATTTGTTTTGTATTGTATTCAGTAAAGCTATCGCAATTGACTACCTCACTTGCAGCCACATTTGAGGACATCTTAATAAACATAAAATAATAGGAACTATCAATGCTATTTCTTGAAACTATCGCAGCCCAACGTATTGCTGTGGACTGATCGCAACTTACTTAGATTTAAAATAACAAAAACAAAATAAATAACAAATTCACCCGTCGGCGATAATAAACATGTAAAATATAAAACGAAGAGATTCCCGTCGTGAATATCAAGCAGCCTACGTGGTTGTAAGTATATTGTGTTGGAGACTACAGCATACAGTTTTCCATTGTTATGTGGATGCCACCATTGTGCACCTTCATTTTCTCCAGGACTTTGTTAACGTACTCTGTTGTTTGGCCAGCAATTTTCACTTCTAAACATCATAGAATTTTAGTTATAAATCGAAAAAAGTAGATTTAAACACTTACTCATAGAAGATTTAGCTATTTTCCTCAACATGCTGAGTGAATTCATCCTGTTTCCCCTGCGCACAATTGTTAATCTTCACTTTAAGTATGTGCCTGGCTTGGTTCAAATGGTTCAAGAGTCGTTCTGAAAGTTTTCATCAATGTAGTGTTATTCAATCAAATTTAAATGTATTCATTCACCCACTGTGTTCATTCTCGAGTCCTTCCAGTTTGATTTTATTCGCCTCATGCTGTGCTTTCTTCTTGAGCCTACACGCCCTGGACGCCAGTTTGTTCTTCTCTTTTCGTGTCTTCGGCCGCACATTGAACGGTAACTCACTGACCGGCGTCATATCGTTGATAATCCTTCCCAGTTTATCCAATTCTTTGCCAATGTTGTAGAGTTTTCTTGGATTCGGTGTAAGATCATTACCGTCACCTTTACGTGCTTTCCCGCTGTGCTTGATACCACGCACCACACAATCTGGGCTGAAGACAGGGTCAGTGATTTGATTCAGCACGTGTGGATTCTCCGTCTTGGTCTTTACTATCAGACGTTGTCCTTTGGGTCCCTTGGCTTGTACATTGTACTGCCAAAAGAAACGTTCCTTCTTTTTCATTGACTTCACACCGGTGTGATCTTCATCGTCATCTGAGTCACCTAAAATAGATTTGCATCAATATTTGCAAAGTGTTAGTTCAAATATAATTAATTTCAAGGTTGACAAGTTTCCCTTTCAAATACACTTTATTTTTTTCCCAACTTTTACTTAAAACGTTCGAAGCAATATGAGAACGCGAGGCACGTGTAAACAATCAAAACGCAAGTTGCAAAAACGCGCAAACCGATGAAAATCATAATCATAAATGTCGCATTCGTAATAATGTATGAATACCTAATGAAGTTGCACACACGCGTTTGGCATTTAAGTCACAAAACGTATCACCGTTTAGCATTTATTATATCTATTTGTGCCGATGTAAACAAACCCAAACTTTCACACGACACCGATCGCGATTATCAAACCAGTCGTATCGTTTTACGAAAACAATATTGTTACACACTCGAATCGAGTATCGATAAAAAGTTGAATTCAAAACTTCAGTGACATAATTCGCGATAGATAAGCGCATCGTAAATAAATATTCAGTAGTAGTTTCAGAGGCACGTGTTATCCAAAACCACAGTGTAAAAAAACAAGCACCGAAAACGTTTGCAAATTTCTGTCCGCTTGTTTTGTGTTTTGGTTTCGTTCTGTGTGAACGATCGAACACATTTGCATATTCTCTAATGTGTGTACTGTGTGGCAAATAGGAAACAGTTAATTTCATGGCCAAACTTATACACTGCCACCGACGAAAACAAAACAATCCTGCGATTCATGGTGGAGGAGCAAGCGAGCACAAGCACCTGCATTTTTTTTTATTCTGCAGCGCTTAATGAACGTGACGAATGCTATTGACCGCGCACATTTAAATTTTACGCGAATCGTAAATAAAGCAAATCTTTTGAACGGCGCACGCTTCAAGAAAAATGCGGAAAAGCCTTGAGAGCTGTTTTTATAGTTTTGTTGTCGTAATAGATTTGGCTTGTGTGCAATCCAACACAAGTCATTAAACCTCAGAAATTAACTCACCGTCAGTTGAATAGTCCTCATAATGCTCACTGTCTTCGTCACTGTCCAATTCGTCGTGGGAAATATCCGGCGCTTCGGGACTCAACACACCGGTCGATAAAGATGATGTAGAACCAGCCTCGACTTGTGATCCAGTGGATAGTAAATGTGGTCTGGGTTCCCTCCTCTGCCAGAGGTCCCTTAAAGCTGAATGCGTTGGT